GACCCAATTTTTTTTATGTGAAAGAAATAGACGAAATGAATGCCTGGTAGAATAAATGGTTCGAATTATTAAAATAGGATCCATACGAGCACATGAATCCAAACAGTGCTCCTACTTTAAAATAGACTATTTGAATTTGATTTTGTCAGCACTAGGTAAGAGTTACGTTAGCAAAACAATGAGTAATTCCAAAGTAAAATATAACTCTGAGCAATTCCAAATTAAACTATAATCCCAGTAGCAAGCAGCTTCACCTAAACAGTAGTACACAGCATCATCAAAATCAAAGCAAAAGTAGCAACATATTCTCTCTCACTGAAATAACTTCTTCCTTCATAACAGAAAATCACAAAGCAGAGCCACTAGCAACATACAACTGATTCATATCACTTAATCAAAATCCTTAACATCGTTGCCTACCCAATCTCACAGCTCCAAAACAACCAATTCCCAAGGTAGTAGTGCACGAAGGCTGAGATTATAGATCGTCACAAATTCTACAATTCGGCAAATGATCGCCTAGATCGTAGACTTTTTTACTCGTGGGACGTACTGCAGATGCATTTCCGGGAACTACATTTCCATAGAGAGAGAATTGTTGGGATGCTTCTTCACTAGTTGATTGGTTACTCTTCTCTCTTTGCTCACTTTTTAGATACATCTAACTAAGGTGCATCTAAAAAAGTAAAAAAAATGTTTAAAATTTAAAAAATATTCACTAAAACCAAAAGAATACGAAAATAAAAAAAACTCAGTTTTCAAAAAACTTAATCCAAAAAACTCAAACCAAACACACTGAATTGTGTTTTGAAAAATAAATTATTTATTTGTTTGGTGAGAAATTCAATAAATTAAATATATTATAATTATTAGATCGACCCAATTTTTTTATGTGAAAGAAATAGACGAAATGAATGCCTGGTAGAATAAATGGTTCGAATTATTAAAATAGGATCCATACGAGCACATGAATCCAAACAGTGCTCCTACTTTAAAATAGACTATTTGAATTTGATTTTGTCAGCACTAGGTAAGAGTTACGTTAGCAAAACATATGAGTAATTCCAAAGTAAAATATAACTCTGAGCAATTCCAAATTAAACTATAATCCCAGTAGCAGCAGCTTCACCTAAACAGTAGTACACAGCATCATCAAAATCAAAGCAAAGTAGCAACACGGTCCGACATGACCCCATAAACTGTCCCGACATTGATTCCGGTTAGCATACAGTGTCCTCTACAACGTTATGACACCACCATACAGTGTCCTCTACAACGTTATGACACCACCATACAGTGCCTTCACCAATGGTCTGACACGACCATACAGTGTCTCCTATTTTTTTTATTTTTATGTATTTTCTTGTTTTGTATTTTCTTATTTTGTTACTCTCTCCAAACTCAAGTTGGCTAGTACCTATCCTCCTTGAGTTTGAGGGGGGCTGTTAATGTAAAATGTAAATTGTGTAAATTACCACACCACCAACTCCACCTACCATCTCCACTACCACACACTCCACCTACCACCTCCACTTCACTCCACCTACCACCTACACCTACTACCACATTTTCTTCTATATATAGGAATTGTAAATATAGCAACATATCAATCAATCAATAATACATACAATCTATTCTACCTCTCTATACATTATTCTAACAAAACCTATTATTTTCTTTTCGATTATTGGAAAGTGCATAAATAGAACATACAATCAAGCATTGGATTCTGAAATTAAGATGCGACGGCACAGTAAATGATATTGAAGATCCTTCATTTTTAAGATTAAACCAGTCTGGAACCTTGCTTCCTAAACAATAAGTATAGAATATGTGTTTTTCATGACATCCCTGTACGACATAAAGCATAATTAATTTAACGATTATGTATATATTGTGTGTGTGTGTGTGTGTGTGTGTGTGTGTGTGTGTGTGAGAGAGAGAGAGAGAGAGAGAGAGAGAGAGAGAGAGAGAGAGAGACCTGTAGGGGAAGCTTCCTTGGACTCCCTGAGTACAAGTTGTAAAGCGTAACAGTTTGGCTTCCCATGGATCCTAAGTTGGACAAGCCCAAATTGTTAATTATCTCCATGTCAATATTTCCCAAAGGTTCAAACTGCCTTGACCGCCATATATGTTATTATATTCGATGGTTGGGAAGGTTACTTTCTCCAACAATGTACATCCTGTGAACCGTAATTCTTTCAATTTCTGCGACACTTCAAGTGATCGGAGCTTTGTGCACTCATCTAAACTAAGGATCTGGAGTCCAGTATGACCTCTGATGCAATTTGGGAGGCTACGAATTGCATTACAACTCAGATTTATAATTTGCAATGAGGATAGGTTGCCAAAATCCATAGGAAAATCATCATCTGATAAATTACAATTCTCAAGACTTAAGTGTACCAAGCACCATGGTAAAAGAGCCCATGAAATTTCCATGCTTTTTCTTGGCTTCAACGGACAGGGATAGATGAATGAATGCCATGATTTGACCTCCTTACTGGTAGAGAGTAATTGACTCATGGAAATTCTATTGGCATGGAGAGCTGTTAATGAATCCATAGTCTTCATTCCTGTTGGCAGTTCCTCAAGATTTGAGCAACCTGAGATGTCAAGTGTTTCCAAAAACTTCAGCATACAAATGCTTCTCGGGAGCTTCCTCAAATTTTTGCAATCTTCTAAATTGAGCAAAACAAGTCTCTCAAGGTGTCCAATGGATTCATGAACCTCAACTAGCCTTGCACAATTTTTAAATATCAATTTCTCTAGATTGGGGACTTTCGACGGGAGTTTTAGTAAGGCAATGGGAATGACTAAGATCAAGGATTTTTAGTGACTTGAGAAGCTGTAAAACAAGAAAAAAGCTGCTATTAATATTTCTTACCTTTTCTCCTTCCCAAATTATTTGCAAGCTACTATAACTCATGTCAAGAACAATCAGGCTCTCCAAAGGAAAATCACAAGGTATAAATTTGAAAGGGAATCCATGCCAACATAACCATCGTAATCCTTTAGGAAAATTTTCCAAGCTTCTACTTATTTGTACATAATTGAGCTGCAAAAGTTTTAGTTTATGCATCCTTGCAAATGCATCAACTTCCAAAGTTACTTGATTTGAATTTCCTAGAGCAGTGCCTACATTCTTGGAGGAGAACATGCCAAAACAGTATCTTTTAAATGAGTTGCCTACATTTGTTAAAAATGGTGTGTCGAGGAATTCATCATAATGACGTTTTCTATTAACACCAAAAATTGTCCTGTCATGCTTATCTTTCTGGAGCAAATTCATATCAAGTGTGAGGCCTTCGATTTTTCTTGTCCCCTGACAATGAACAGGAGGAGGGAAATATTTATCAATAAGAGTAATGCTATAAAAATATAATTTTTGCAAAGATCAATCATACAAAATGATGTGGCTTTTTCAAATAAAAACAACAAAAATGAAACTGATAATTTCAAAAATCCAATTGCCCTATTATCCTAGATGATATGTATCTATATATATATATATTGTTGAATTACACTATTAGTCCTTATAGTTTAAGCGAAGTGTTATTTTAGTATCTATAGTTTCAATTTGAATCATTTGATCCCTACACTTTCAAATTTGTTGCAACGCAGTCCCTTTTTACTTACCGTTAGAATTTGAAACAGAAAAAGACCATATATAAAACTAGAGGGACCAAATTGAAATTCAAAACTAACTACAATGACCACTAGTTTAATATACCAAATTGGAATTCAAATAGACTATAGAGACCATCGGTGTAATGAATATATTACACCGGTGGTCATTGTAATTTGTTTTGAATTTCAATTTGGTCCCTCTAGTTGTGTATATAATTTTTTTCCATTCAAAATCTTAACAACACATGTTGGAGAGACCACATTGCAAAAAATAAAAAATAAAAAATTTGTAGTGACTAAATTGTTCAAATTGAAACTACGAGAATCAAATAAAACTTCGATCAAACTAGAGGAACCGGTGGTGTAATTTACCGATTTTCTTTTATTATATTATACAAAGATTTTTCTAGATCATTTTTCCGATATAAATAGCATAACTACATAAATAAATAGAAATAAACATGAAAAGCAAAAAGGTTAACACTTATAGTATTTTCTCTCAAAACATTCAAGGAATCCTTGTGATTCCTGTGAGAACCCGAATATAAAAATTAAGTAAATAATTAAATAATAATATTACAATCTCAAATATTTTTGTGGTGAATTCTAAGGTGCAAATTAAATATTATTGGAGGATCCTTTAATTAATTTTTAAACCTAAAATAAATTTGTGGTGAAAGTCATTGATTTAGAAGCAAGATTTATTATTAAAAAAAAAATGGAGAAGAGGGTGTGACTTGAACTCTAGACCACGAAATTAATAAGTTAGACTCTTACCATTTGAGTTGCATGTAACTTATATATGTATTTTGTATATTTATCTATCTATTTGACCTAAGTGTGCCCACCACTAGTATAAAATAAAATAAACACAAACCCTAACTCTTGTTATAATTGTTTTCCACAACACTAGCAGCCCTAGCAGCCGTGGGTTTATGAAGGAAAGAGAGGGGTTTTTCAATCATCAAGATTATTGTTGTAGCCAAGAAGGAGAGCTTTGGGTGTGTTGTGCTGTGTGGCCTCCTAGGTTTTCCCAAGAATTGTTGTAAAATTTGTAATAAAAGCTATGCTTTCTCTAGGAATTTTTATTTATTTATTTATTTTATTTTATATGATGCATTTGGTTTATAGGTTGTCAATTAGCCTATTAGGCTCTGTTGGCTATGAGATCATGTCACTTCGATCAAACTAGAGGAACCGGTGGTGTAATTTACCCATTTTCTTTTATTATATTATACAAAGATTTTTCTAGATCATTTTTCCGATATAAATAGCAGAACTACATAAATAAATAGAAATAAACATGAAAAGCAACAAGGTTAATACTTACAGTATTTTCTCTCAAAACATTCAAGGAATCCTTGTGATTCCAAAGTCTACTACGTTCTCCTGGCTCCTTAGGTGATTCTTGCTGAACAATTTCTCTTCCCATTTCTTGAACCAATTGATGCATCACCAACTTTTTGCGTTCATCAATTGTTAATAGACATCTATCAATGAGATTTTGAATCCCAACCATTGTGTAAAAATCACATCCATCTAGAATTGTAACTACCCAATCTTCATCCATCCCAACAAAGAAACAAGCAACATGGAGGAATAAATTTTTATCGTGGTCATCTTGTAAAGAGTCATAGCTTATTTTGAGTTTTCCAAGGATTTCATGATCAGGAAATGCTTTCAATTTTTCTAATTGACTTTTCCAGATATTTAAACTTTTTCCAGACAGAGAAGAACCCAAAATTTTTATAGCTAATGGAAGCCCTCCACAGTAGTGTACCACCCTTTTTGAGTCCTCTATGAAACCATCAATGGGACAATTTTTCCCAAAGGCATGCCAACTAAAGAGCTCTAAGGATTCATCATTGTCCAATTTTTCAACCTTGTGCACCCGACAAACTTCATGAGCCTTGAGCAATTGCTCACGCCTGGTGGTTATGATGATTTTACTACCTTGAGAAAGCCAGTCTCTCATTCCAAGTATTGCATCCAATTGATCTGTTGTATCCACATCATCAAGGACTACAAGAACTTTTTTGCAACATAATGCATTTTTAATCTTTACAACTCCTTCATCAACACTGTACAATTTTTCCTTTCTTCCCTTTAACATATCTGAAAGAAGTTGTCGTTGTAATCGAAGTAAACCATCTTGTTGTTTTAAATTTTCTCTTACATTTGCAAGAAAATTGCTACCTTCGAATCTTGAGAAGTTCAAATTATATAGTACTTTGGCAATGGTTGTCTTCCCTATTCCGCCCATCCCACAAATTGCGACTATACCAACGTCACTAGACTCATCTTGTAACCAAAGCCCAATGTTTTCGGCTCGAGAATATATTCCAATCAAGTGGGGGGCAATACCCAAGGTTGTGCGACTTCGTTTGTCTCCAACCACTTTCACAATTTTCTGGATAAACTTTGACTCAAGTCTAATTATCATATTAAGATGGAAAATAAAGAACAATAAGAATGCCATCAATTGAATTTAATTGCTAATTCTCATGCAATACTAAACCAAAAGACCATGTTATTGTCTTTGTTGAAACAATTGGAAGAGTCTTAGATGAAAAGAAAGGGTTTTCACTATCATGGTTTTGAAACAATACTCTTTTATGTAATATAAATTGTTTTGTTTTTCAATTTTTGATTAGTAAGCCAAGTTGTTGAAACTTTTAAACAATGGGCCAAATTCCAATAAAATGTCTATGAAAAGAAATGAATAGCTACTTGTGATCTTTTCATATAACTTGAAAAGAAGGAGCATCTTAAAAAAGCATGAGTTAATAAATTCAACTTGTTTTTTTTGGAAACTGACTTGTAGGATGCTTTTGTGTTTGAAGGCTATCTTACAAAAACTAAACTATGTAAATCTGTCATAATTAACAAAACAATTCATTCCAAAATTTGAACAGATAATTCTTCATTCAAAAGACCCTAGTATGAAATACTTTAATCTACGAAATCCAAAAAATGGTGATATAAGTAATGCTTAGCTAAGAAAAGGACTTGGGAGGAAATTACCCGTCAGTTTGATTTTGTAAGTTCATCCCTGCCAAATCTGCAGCTTCTCTAAGTGCTGCCTTCCATTCTTCCACTTTGCCAATCCATTCAACTTTTCTTTCACTGGCTTCTGCACGAAATCTCTCTTCATGCCTCATAAATGCTTCTTTGAAACTTTTCTTTTGATTCCTCACATGAGATGGATCCACATGATAGAAAACAGGTAGAACTACATGTCCAACAGTCCTCCTGCGTTCAAGGATCATGACAAGTTCATCGAGACACCAACTTGAAGATGCATAGTCCTCCGAGAAGACAACTATTGAAATCTTCGACTCTTGAATTGCTTTGTTCAATTCGAACTTAATATTCTCCCCTCTTTCAATTCCATCGTTATCTCTGAAAGTACGAAATCCTGCGTGTGCTAAAGCTGTGTATTCATCGAGACACCAACTTGAAGATGCATAGTCCTCCGAGAAGACAACTATTGAAATCTTCGACTCTTGAATTGCTTTGTTCAATTCGAACTTAATATTCTCCCCTCTTTCAATTCCATCGTCATCTCTGAAAGTACGCAATCCTGCATGTGCTAAAGCTGTGTAGAGGTGGTCAGTGAACGTCTTGCGAGTATCTTCACCTCTAAAGCTCAAGAACACATCATAACTACAATGAGAATTGGAGGAGGAGGTTTCTTGGGATCTGACAAATGCCATTGGATTAAAGCTCAAAGAAAGACCAATTAAGGACAGAAGAGCCAAGATATGAATTATATCTGTTTAGGCACCATGGATATTTATAGATGTATATGTATATGAAGTACCAAGTAAGAAACCGATGAGAGAAATGCTATCTAATTTACATGTTGGTTTTTCCTGGAAGCTTGTATGTGTCTTGACAAGAATATATTCTTGACTCTATGTTCTACGAAGTCTTTCCCAAATTATTTTTTGTGGGACCTTTTGTTGTCCTTACAATTATTTAAAAATTCTTACCCTTTGGAAAATCATGAACCAATCTACCCACCTTCATTTGTTTAGGTTGTGTTTGGTTGGGAGATTTAAAAAGGGATTTAGAAAAGGAAATGAAAAAGGTGTGTGAAATTATATAAAATGTAAGTATATTTTATTCACATTTTATCTACCTTTTTCCTTTCTCTTTCCAAATCTTTTCCCAAATCTCTCAACCAAACACGACAACTAAAATGCCCCAAACCAATTCAATCATTGCTCTATAATTTAAAGGGAAATATTGCTATATGTCACCCATTTTCTCTGATCGTTTGGAATCACTGTTTAAGTGGATATTCATAATTGATTCCGGTTCATAAATAATTATTCATGAAACTAAATAATGTTTTTTCATTTCTTAATGATATGAAATGGTGATAAAACAAATAATATACAATAGAGAAGGATTTGAATTCTTTGTGGTGTTTATTTTTGTCTCATTGTAAGGGTTGTTTATAATTGTTTATTTATTCTCAAGTTTGGGCTTAGTGACTGTGTTGACTTTTTAATTATTATTAAATTAGTAGTTAATTTAATGTAATACTTCTCATATTTGTGAATAATTATTGTTTATTGAAACTTTGTTTTCTATTGTTGACTATACCAATTAGGTAGCCACTGATCTATACAAATGGTTGGTGTTAATCGTTCTTCTAAGAGGCCGCTTGGAACTTAGGTTTTTAGTAATTTTTTTTTTTTTTACTTTTAATTATGAGATAAAAAAAATTAATGTATTTGAAATGATTTTTTTAATTGAATAGATAGTTGCGAGAAAAAATTGATTGATTAATCTATATGATTTGACATTTTACTAATAGAGTTGAATTTGATTCCAAATAATGAATCAGCCATCTCCTTATTTTTTTGTCAAGAAAAAATATGGCAGACTAACTGATATTTATCAGTTAATGAAAGAGGTCCAATGCAATAAATAAATAAATAAATAAATAAAATGCATGTTGTGTCTTTGAAACAATCTTGCCCCACCCATGAGAAAATATTTCATAGTAGCCTCATTGGACTGTGCATCTTTCTTAATATATGATAATAGGTAAAAGTATAAACTAAAATATTCTGGAGTTGCAAAAATAGTTATTAAATTGTTAGCAACAACATAATGGAGGAAGTTAATCAATATGTCGATTCCATCAATTATAATTGAAAAGAAGAGTTACAAAGAATGGTTGGTCAGATCTAGTATGGATTGTACATGGATGGTACTTGGAGTCGGTGGGGCAAATGGAATCCGATACATAAATCAGTTAAACATCCAGCGCCAATGTCATTGAATGGGTAAGTCACCAATCCCTAAAACGGACTATGTAATGTACTTTATATGCTGGGTTACGAGCAGACATTTTACCAGAGGTTTCTAATCTGCCTTTGTGTGATTCCGGTTGAAGCATTTACTCGGGAAGTGGGTGCAACCTTTCGAACTGCTACTGAATCCATGGACAGACAAGAGACAACCTGACAAACTAAAACATTTGAATCTTTTATACTTTTTTATGACTTTCTGAATTTTTTTTAAAACAAAAAAATCTCTTGCCAAACGGAGCTAAGTGTGGTGTGCCTTAATAAAAGGGGGACTTATGTGTAAAACCTAATAAGTGAATTTATTATACAATAAGTCCTATGATAATTAATGATATTTTTCATCAAACACTATCAAAAAAAATGTCACTAATTTTTAATTGTCAGTGATAGTTTAAAATTTTTTACAAAAAATGTCACTAATTATAAGTTTTAGTAACAATTTAAAAAAATAATCACAAAAATTCACTAATTTTCAACTTTTAGAGACAATTTGAAAAATTCATCATAGAAAAATGTTACTAATTGTAAGTTTTAACGACAATTTATAAAAATCGTAACAAAAAAAAAGTTACTAATTGTCGATTTTTAGCGATATATGTAAAAAATCGTTACAAAAAATTATTTTTAGCAACGATTTTACTTGAACTTATTTTCAATAGTATTTGATGGGAATTAAATCTAACTATTAAGAGTTATTGGTAATTCACCCTTAATAAAATGCGTCATTATTCACGCATAAGCATTAGTGTATGTGCTGGGTTTGAAAATTTGGATTCTGTTTTGTTTGATTTTTAAAATTTTAGTAATTTTTTTTTTACTTTTAAATGTACTTAATCTAGATACTTAATTTGTTTTTTAAATTACTAAAATATATTTTAAAAAAAAGTTCATTAAAAAACAAATAAAATAAAATAAAATAAATATCTGTGATTTTTGCATTCTTTGCACCAAATATGAATGAGACTGTGGATTAGAGAGTGTGCAAGTGGGGGTACAGTGAGATAGGCATGGATGGGCGAAGCTAGTGAGAAAGTGAGACCTTTAAAATAAAATTTCCAAATGTAAATTATTTTTATTGGGATTCATTTACTCATATGGGATATTTGCGTACCAACAAGTAGGGGTGAGCAGCGAATGTACCGATCCACTCAAACTGACCGAATCGAACTGATCCGCTGCATTTTGGACGGATGCGTGATGATGAGCGGACAGTTGCGAATTGATTTTTTTCAATCCGCCTAGTTTTGGATGGATGGTAGATTTGAGGTTCATTGGCCGCAACTGAACAGTCAAACCATAAGCACCCTTAGTAATTTGTAAGACTTTGTGTTTTCAATTTGTTTAGATATTCTGTTTGTGTTTTTAATTGAAAAAGAGTTTAAATATTCTGTTGAATATATTCTATTGAAAAAAAGTTTTCAACTTGAATATATTTTTTGAATTGAAAAAAATAAATGTATTATTTATCTATAATTTTTGGTTTTTAAATCTAACTCTAAAAATAATAAATAAAAGAGATGATATATGCTAGTTGATTTTTATTTTCAAAAAAAGATATAAATGTAACAATACAGAGGCATACAATCTCTACTACTACTACTCTGTTTATGTTTTTGATGATTTGAATTGTTTCTATATTTTAAGAACCACATATTGTAATACTTTATGTGGATGAGGCATGCTGTGATTGTAATATTTGGATGAGGCATGTACTGATTGCAATACTTTTTTATTTTTTTTAAATTTTTTTTTTAGAGGAAGTGCACAAGTTGAATCATGTGAAAAATTTATAAAATTTTAAACCGCCAAACCGATTCGCATCCATCTACCAATCTGCCAATTCGCTCAATCCACATATGCCGAATTGGCAGAGGAATGCTGCAATACTTTTTTATTTTTTTTAAATTTTTTTTTAGAGGAAGTGCACAAGTTGAATCATGTGAAAAATTTATAAAATTTTAAACCGCCAAACCGATTCGCATCCATCTACCAATCTGCCAATTCGCTCAATCCACATATGCCGAATTGGCAGAGGAATGCTGATTGATTTTCTCCAATCTGCCAATCTGGCAGACGGATGGCGAATTGGAGGTTCCGTGGCCGCAACCGACCCGTGCCCACCCCTACCAACAAGGTTATATCTACTTACAATTTTATTAATAATTCTATTAAAAGTATCTATGTCCACATATCAATAGATATTTAAATATTATTGTTATTTTCACAATTAATCACATTTGACCATATATATTTTTGGTAAGATTTTTAATAAAGTTATTAGTATGGGATAGAATTATTCATTTGGATACACCATAGCATGATATGGCCAACAAAAAACTTGGGAAAAGAAGATGGAGTGTTTGATAACATGATTTAGTACTTAAAACTGGATGTATTAAGTAATAATTAATTAAGTTTGTTTGATAATCATAATTGATATCACTTAAAAATTTAAGGATCTCTTAAAATATTAGCTAAAACTTTAAAAAAAAATTAAGTTATTTGAAACTTGCTTAATTCTAATTAAATTTATAAATATTAAATATAAGTATCGATATATACTATTATAAATTTACCACCACCACCATGCCACCACTACCACCAACACAACCACCACCACTACCGTTATTGCTACCACCAGTCCACTACCATGCCCAGTGGCGGAGCCAAAAAATTAAATTAGAGAGGGCACTTATTAATTACAGTATCAAAAATTTTTACAAAAATATTTCATGCAAGTTTTTATGATTGATTTCAAGAAACATCAAAAAAATAATATTATTTGTAACTAGTGTATCATGGACAATACAAAAAAAATATGGATACAAGTCTTAAAATAAATTATACAATGATAAAAAAATTTTATATACAAAATTTGATTAAAAATTCAATATAATGGTAATACTACGTCATCATCGATATGCGATATCACCATGTAATAGTACAAGGAAAATGCTATGAACCCCAAGAAAATTATTAAATAAATTATCAAACCTCTAACATGAGTGTAGGACCCACACACATGTGATTTGTGTGGGTCCCACACCCATGTGAGAGGTCTGGTAATTTATTTGGTAATTTGTTTGGGTTCTCTAGCATAACTCATAGTACGTAAACACATAGAGAGTGAACCCCACATGTCAAATGTAACTAACAATCCAATAAATTTCATATTTTTATAATGAGATTACTTATACTTGCATGTTAATAATAATGACATCACCGTTACATTCAAAAAATTTCATAGATAATATGTTTTATAGTAGTCTCTTCATTTTCAGTTAAAATAACCATTATTTTTCTCATAATTTTTAAAATGTCATTAACATTTCACTCTAATAATATTTTTGTAATTTTTTTTTATTTAAAATATTTTCTTTATGTTTGCAAAATTCTAAAAAAAAAATCCCAAAATTTAGGGGGGCACGTGACCTCCCTGAGCCTTCACTCCTTTCGCCACTGACCATGCCACTGCCACCACCACCATCATGCCAGCACTAATACTACCATTGTTATCGCTACCACCACCACCACCACTACTATTACATTTATTGTCATTGT